GGGTGGGGTGGGGAAGGGAGAAGCTGGGAAAGAAGAGTTGGGCTGATAGTACGAGTGCTCGTCGTGAAAACGGGGAGCACCAGATCCAAGTCTCTAGGGACAGGAAGAAGGGATTATCCTTATAAACACCCTTCAGGCACTCAGTGCCTGCGCTGGTGTCGTCATCGCTTTTCGGGACTAAACAAACTCCCTTCTTCTGAATTCCCCCTGAAGTCACATTGTCACAGTCCCAGATGGTTGTGTTTCTGGCCACCACCAGTTTTCAAACATCCTTTTAAACCCGGGGGGCTGCACAGGGGCAAGGGGATTTGCAACATGCACAGCCTCGGGCCAGCCCTCCCTGAGCAAGAGATGCTTTTTTGGGGGGGGGGGCCGCAGCGTAAGTTTTGGGGGCAGAGGCTGCTTTGGTATCTGCTTTTTAGCAGCCTCCTGCTCCCGCACAAGAAGGGGCAGGTCCCTGGAAATATTTAATGGCAGAGGAAAGGGCTGTGAGTCTCTCCTCGTCTAGGAGGAGACCCTAGGACTCCTGGCAGGAGACCCTGCCCAGGACCCACCGCTGCCCTCTTCCCTTTCCTCTCACCTCCCAGGGCAGGGCACCAGAGGGAAGAGGAGGAGAAAGCTGGCTGCTGGCCACAGTCAACACAGAACAGGGCTACATGACACGGGGATACCACCAGTCCCACCACAGCTGCTGCCCTGCCCCAAGCGGGCTGTCCCCTCTGGGTCTGAGCAAGCCCTGCCTCGCAGGATGCTCCACCGCTGCTCATCAGCTCGAGGGCAGGGGAGCAGGTATCCGGATACCACTTTAAAGACTCCAGGAAGGAAGAGTTGCTTCACCTTCCCTGCCAGGTCCCCACCACCAAGGTCTTCAGGAACATTGCAATCTTCTCCTCTCCTATCTCCACTGCCTCTCAGAAGCGGAAAAATTTATATTTAAGTACATTAAAATGACACGCTCTTCGGGAAAACAACCAAACAACCCAAGCCTGCCTGGACTGTACTTGCCGAGAAGTTTCCATGGAGAAGAAAGTGCTGTTTGGGAACACTTTCACCCCCCAGCCGGACTCGAGGAGGAAGGGATACCCTGTGCAAGCAGTGCCACGTGCTGTGGTGAGAGATGACAGCAGTGGCCCGCTGTGTGGCTGAAGCCCTCGGGAACAAACCTGCCCCTTGGGCCAGGCTGCTCCCCAGGAGCCACGTACCAGATGCTGAAGCTCCTCTGCACAGTCCCACAACTTCAACATCTGTCCTGGGGTGGGCAGCACAGCTTCAGATGCAGCAAGCCCAGACTGCGGAGGGTGAGGAGGAGCGGACAAGGCTGCTAGGGCACGATGCTTTCTGGAAAAGCAGATCTAAAGACTCTTTTCCCCCCCATCATCTACCTGCTGCAGAGTCCTCACCCCATCTGCTCCTTCACCTCCCCTGGGTTGGGAGGGATCCGGCCAAAGGGTGGTAACGTAGCGCTGGAGGAGGCCATGGGATCTTAAAGAGAGGCGATCAAAACCGTTCGCTTCAGAAAGAAGTCAGGAGCCTGTTTTCACCAGGCAAGGGCCTTGTTTAAACACCCCCTTCTCGAAACAGCAAGGACTTCTAGAAACGTGTTTCAAGGACAAGTGTTTTACTAGAAGAACTGAAGGACGTGCCTATGTCTAAACCCTCAACAATCCTTGACTTGTGCAAGAATTTAGGGTAAAAGGGGACCAGGAAATGAGGGTTTTTATTTGGTCCAATTTGAGGACAACAGCATTGCTTAGAAGGGGCTGGAAATTAAGACAGTGAGTCACAGGATGCCCAGCTCAGAGGTTCGCACCTTCAGGACGATTGCTTGGTCCCAAACCGAGAAGGGGCATTCTGAACATCTTAAGCCTCCTAAGAAGCATTTATGAGTTATTTATATAAAGGAGTCCACATATGCTACAACTCACACTAGTTAAATGTCACTGACAATGGGGACACAGGACAGTGTTGCTTCCACAGTCCCTGGCCAGAGAGCCTGGGGGATCCTTGGAGGGCAAGCACCCTCCCTCCTAGAAGCTGCACAGCTTTCCTCAGGCAAGAGGACCAAAACAAGTGGAAAATGTTTGAAGCAGACCCTGGCAAGCACTTGTGTCCGCTGCAGAGAAAGCACGGAAAGCCTGGAAGCTTTGGCTGAAGGTGGGAAAGGCAGAGAACCCCAGTCCTGCATACGGCCACAGCAGGGGGGAAGGAAGATGGAAGGAAGTGGGGGTGCTTGGTTTGACTTGGGGCTTCCTTTGCTGTTTTATTTCTTCCCCTGGTAAAAGCTGGGACTTTGCAGCTATTGTTGCTGTTCTACATAGCACTGGCTTCTCAGAGGAGTACAGACCCACAATGAAAAGGGAAAAAAAAAAAACCATCACAGGAAGGAAAAGAATTAGCAGGGAAAGGAAAAGCAGTGGCAGGAACGAGTACTCACGCCTGAAATAAATGCACTGCCTGCTGCCAAGGGTGCAGGTAGGGAAGGTTACACCACAGTCAAACTCTCTCCTGTGTAGAAGTGGAGACCTTGGTGCAAAGTCATGGTTTTTGGCTTTATTGCTACAGGTGAGCACCGGCAGCACAGTTGTGCGCCAGTGGCGGAGGAAGACAGAAACGGAATCAGCAAATGAACCCTCGAGGGACTGAAATAACAGTAACCAGCCCCATGCACAGGGATATCAGAAGGAGAGTTTCTTTGAAATCTGAAGTTTCTTAGAAATTTTAAAGGTAAGGGGGGGAAGTAGGGGCAGAGCTGTCTAGACACCTGAAAAGAGCTGGTCATCAAATGGGCAGACACTTGAGGTAGCAGCCTCAGCTGGGATTAACAGCTTCCGCTTATGGATTTTGAGGAAGATGAGCACTGAGACCAAGGGTTTGGCATCCCAGGTTTGTCTTGCTCCACCCCAGCTGTTCCCAAAGCTCTGACTTTGCTCTGCCAAGGCAAATGTTCAGAGGACCCAACAGGAAACCTTCCCGGTGCTGCTGCTTCCGCTGCGTCAGCTCCCGGTGGAGTTTAAAGGTTGGGTGGGACATTGCTAGACCAAGGGCTGGGCCAGAGCTGCTCTCCACCTCCCTGAGCTCAGATCTGAGATACTTAAAGTTCACAATGAAGAAAAACAGACAACAAAAAAACCCTGACAAAACCAAAAAAACAACCTTGAGTCTCCCACTGCTGCTCCCCAGCAAACATTTCCATGCAGAAAACACAGATTCCATCCACCTCCCGGGTGAGGGAGGCTGGGGATGAGGTATAAGGCAGCAGCTGTAAGGATCGTACTTCCAGCCCTGAAGAGCACAGAGGGAAGGAGCAGAACACCGTCCTACATGAACAACTGACTCATTTCTCTTGCTGCCTACACCCCTGTCACAGCGAAGCACAAGGCTGACGCAGACACCTCCGAGGAATCATTTAGCTACCACTCCTGAAGAACATGTGGAGATGAGAGTCTCTGACAGGGATGCTTAAAGCAGCAGGGTCTTCACGACAGAGACCAGAGCAGCACAGGTACCCCCCCGCCAGGCTACCAGGCCCTCGGTTCAAATAAAGCAGCTACAGAGCTTTCACTGGTATTAGCAGCTGTAGTTTCACCCTTTACAGCAGCTCACAACTTCGACCGCTGAAGGGACCATTCCTTGTTAGCCCAATCACTGGCAGCTGTACCGGGGTAAAGGCTGCCAAAATACATAACCAGGTAGTTTTTGCCAGTCCAACTGAAACATCTTTATTTCTGTGCTGTTAGCTTCACCTGTCCTCACAGAGGACAGAGTGCAGGAGGTAAGTGAACTTTTCCAGACAAGCTGTTCATTACATTTGGGGGCAACAAGGAAGAGCCAAGGCCATGAGGAGCCATTTCCATTATTTTCCAAAGATCCCACTGTGAAAGTTTGAGGAGTCTTTGCTAAGCTTGTTGCGACTTCAAATTTAAAACCAAGCATTCACTTCTGGGACAAGAGGACTGCTTGGTAGTTAGAAAGTCCACAGGAGCCTCAAGAGACTCTTTTCCCCTGCTTTCCCAACCACACGTGGGGCCTAACACAGCCCATAAAGGCTCTCCTGCCAGTCCACTCCCAACAGCACCTGTGCTCCTGCCCCAGAAACACAGACTCTGAAGCAATACCACATTCTGGAGGGAAGGAGAGGAAGGGCTGGGATTAAAAACAAAAAAACCCCAAACCCACAAAACAACAGAAACTCGGAAGAGACTGACACAAAGGACATAAAAAGCAGGAGAAGCTATGAAAATGTTGAGATGGTCAAGAAAAGTAACATCAAAATATATTTAAAAACCAGAAATTCCAATCTGTGTGGAATTTAAAACTCCCTTCCCCACCTTTTTTTCCTGCTCAAGGAGTCTCTTTGTTGTTCCAGGACGTGGAACATGATAGGCAGCACCAGTTATGCCCTGAAAAGGGTAGTATTTCCCCCAACTCATCTGAGCAGTTCCATCATTTACAAAGAAAAAATTATATATACCTCAACAATTGCCCCACCCTCCCTCTTTTCCATTCTACAGTGGGCAGGAGAAGAGACTGCAAATAAATCTGACTTTTCATTTTCAGTTAAGTCCATTTTTTCCACACATCAATATCCCTGCAATCCATTGTACACCTTCTGCACTGATCCTTGTTTCAACAACCGTTTGAGACCTGCAAGAGAAAGGAAAGTGTTACCTCACAGCACAAACAGGAGGAGGACTCTGCATTTACACATCTGGCTCATAGGCATCAGCCTTTCAAGGCTGAGCCTACGTATCTGAATAATGCAAACACTAGTACCCTAAGAGCATCATTAAAAAAAAAAAAAGGAAAAATAAAAACCCCCTCAAACCCAGTGGTACGACAGCTTTACGCCTGCTCTTTTAGCATTGCTACAAGGAGAAACGGGACTGAGGTTAGTGATGCTGTAACAGTGCTTTTGCACACTCTCGGGACCACACACAGTCTATGGTTCTGGGGAAAAAGCCTCCGCTACAAACTCAGAGCCCAGTGCAGCGCCTCAAGATCCTCACAGCTCCGGAAGGGATAAAGCTGAATCCCAGAGCTGCTTTGCTGTTGAAGTCGACAACAATTTTGCCATCTCAAGTGCAAATGCAACAACAAACAACTTGCTGACTATTTCCAGATCTAGGTCATCTCCCCAGGCTCCCTCTACAGCCCAAGAGAAATCTGCTAGCAGCAAGATCGGGAGGGCTTTTGAGTCCTTCTGGACTTGCCAGCTACAGAATCCCCCAGGAGTAATTAGAAAGCAGCAGTTTTCACACTGGTATGTGGTGCCTGGGGACACTACTGTCCAGTAGAAGTAGTCCCTGAAGGCAAGTAAGAGAAGCAAACTCATTATCTGCGGGCTTAACTATCCTACTGAAGGCCTGAAAATTCCAAGTTTTTTTTGAAACCCACCATTTCACAAAAGTGTCTAGATGACTTTTCAGATACCATCTTCCCCACCCCTGAAAGCCCATTCATAAAACATTTCACAGAACTGACTGCTCTGAGGTCCTGTCAGCATCAAATTCTTACCAGAGCAGGATAAAAGAAGCGTGAGTCAGCCCTTAAAACTATAATAGTTCATCTACTGGGGTCAGCACATTCAGGGAAAGACTGGCAGGTCTTCACCACTACTTAAAGGGCAAGTCTGCACAAAACAGAGGAAGCAGACTGGCAAGAACAGATGCGTCACACTTTTTCCAGAAATAACCAGAGGGGACTCCCTCTTTCAAGTCAGCCTGGCCACACACAGGAGTGCCCTGGCCTTGGGGCCCCTCAGGGCATGGCAACATCTCTGCTCTGAGCAGCACCAGAAACCACTGAGCCCGAGGAATGTCTGTCAGGGCCCAAAACAGAGAGGAAAACTCCCCATGCCATGGGTAACTTTCAAATAATACTTAAAAAAAAAAAATCTAGCTAAACTGCTATAATTCTGCTGTTGGATGTCCCCAAAACAGCATCAGTCTTGCAAGAAAGCACACAAGCAGCTGGCTTGCACCTCAACACGACAGAAGACAGGATCGCAGTCCTGCCCCAGATCAGCTTGCTCTGCGGCTCGACTGAAGCCAGAGTCATGGTGTCATACCGTACATGTTCGTACAACAGATCAGATTAGGCTGCCTAGAAAATGCCACCAGAGTTGTTAACTTTAGGTGAGGTTACAGAGGCACGGAGAGGGAGGATCAGCAACTAAATCAACCACTTCTTCAGAAAAGCCCCCCAACCTTTCAGGCAAGTCCTTCTTCAAGAAATCCAGCTAAAAGAGAGTCTGTCTCCCTGCAAGCCTTATCCTGCTTGTTTACCCTTAAGTATTTGTAGCCAAAATGCTTTTTGTCCTTTAAGGCCAGTGATCTGATGCATAAGGGTCAAAATAGCTCTGTTAAAATACTGGTAAACTGTCCTGGAAGTAGTAACTGGAACTGAGACAGCTCTCTGCCAGACATGAGCTATTCATGCTTCTTGCTTGCTGGCCAGAGAATCCTGAACTCCTTTCCACTCAGAAACATCCTTAAGAGCAGAGAAAAGCAGGCCCCTAAACAGGAGCTGCTGATCATTAAGGATAGATCATTCTCCAGGGGCGTACAAGGCAAGTTCACTTCCCCTGCACAGCCAAAGGAGGCTCCAAGTCACTTCCTGGCTGATGGGTAAGAGGATGTGCCTCCTGGATTCGTAGCTCTTTGAAAGGAAGGACATAGCTAGAGAGAGGTGTGCTCCAGTAACCCTGGAAAAAAGTGGGATCAGCACCATTCCCGTACCTCGTTTCCTGCTAGCTAGCTCTATGCAGCTGCCTGCTGGCCTGAAGGGTACCCTCATTAGCGCACAGGATATTTCAACACATATCTGATGTTCAATCAGGAATTCCAGCCAGGAATGCTGATATTTGGTGCTACTGCACCTCAGGCATTTTTTTTTTTTTTTCCACTAGAGCTAACCCCAAGATTTTTCCAACCCAGGTTACAACACAACCTGAGCACACTGCCTGCCACTGCTCTGAGTGCTCCAGAGTTAAAACATGGGATCCAAGGCAGACAATAAACAAGTGTCAGTAGAGATGAACACGAGAAAGTCACTTCTGATCAACAGGCAATAAATTCCCTGACATCACACTGTCAGGAAAGCAAACATTATTCCCCTGACTCTAGAGCTTAGGCTGACCAGAGTGGTGCTCTTGGAGTCAGAGTACCTTCTGACTGCCCCAGGAGCTGTACATATGGTCATGAGATAAGAAATTAGGACCATCGCCAACAATAAGAAAAGGGATGTTTTGAATTCTGAAGCCTACAGTCTTCCTTTGAATGTGTACACTGAACTGCTGCCACACAACATGAACAGACCTATTGCCTCATAAAACTCCTTAAATCACTGGATGTTGGGAGATCTTCTAGCACACAGGAACGCATCTGACGGCCTATCCCGTCACCTTCCCCTGGGAAGCGTGGAATTAGTTTAGGAGGGAGCGGAACACCCAAAGGCCTGAACACACATGCTTGAACACACTCATGCCAGTACCATCACTTCTCTGTTGCTGGGGTATCTGTAAAAGGTGCGTGAGAAATTTCTATAAACATTCAGATTTCTGTCATTGCTCTTTGCCAAGTCTCTTCACAAACTGTCAAAGAGTCTGTTCGAGAGGCACTGACACCTTACGAAGCTTCAAGAAGGGCAGCAGAGCCTGGAATGAGACTTCACAGCTGCAGCCACTGTGCTCCACAGCCCTCACTGGGCACAAACACACTTGCAACAGGCAGGAAAGCACAGGGATCAAAACACAAAACAGGTTCACTCAAAGCACAGCCCGAGCAGTAATGCACACAGCAGTAAGTGCCACAGGGCTAAGAACAGCCCACCCAGGGCTTGGCTTTCCTCTCCAAGCTTCAAGAGTACAGGAAAGCTGTGTATTTGCATCATTCTACCAGGAGAGCTGCCAGAATCCACTAAGAGGGCACCTTCAGAAGAGGGTATGATAGCCCTGACCAGCAGGAAGAAGTTCTGCGGATGGCAATTTTCTGAAGAGCTGTACTGGTACATGCCAGGATCTTCTTTGCCCCATAGCAGAGGACATGGCCCTTGATGCCTACTCTGATGCCTTGCAGAGAGCAGCAGAACCTACGGCAGAGGCTGCTGAAGCAAAGAGCAATTGCCAGCTAGGAATATAGTATTTACCCTCCTGTCAGTTTTAGGATTTCTACATGGTTCATCAAGTTTCCATTTGAACACTGAAGCTGAGAAGCAGATGTCTCCTACCAAACATCTGCACCACATCCTTCTTCCTCTATACAGCCACAAAGCACTTAGGGGAGAAGGAGATGTAGAGAGAAACAATCCTTCTCCTGATGCTGCATGACACTCTTTACCCTTGACAGTAGAGGGATTTTCACAAGTCTTGCCTCCAAGGAAGTGGAAACGGGGGCTGGAGAACAGCTTGTGATCCCATTCCAGCGAAGGCAAAGCAGACAGAGGCTAAGCCCAGTAAGTCCTTCAGCTCAGACAGATGGCCAGCTACAAAACAAAGCACCTGCAAACTTGCCAAGTGCTACATCCCAGCAGTGGCATATCCCAACCTAATCTGGCTCCCTACAACTGCAGCAGCCAAACTCACTTGCTTCAAAGGGAAATGGAAGTTAATCACAGGGCATCGGCCAGCTGTGTTATGCTGTACAAGAGGCACAGGGAAAGGAGAGCCCCTCCTGACCTCTCCAGGCCACTGGTTCAGTTGTGCCAACTTCTTATCAGCTTTGGCAAGAGGCCCGTGCAGCCCGCTGCCATGACAGAGCTTTAAAACACGCACCTTCCCGCTGTTCGTTTGTTAGTTGCTCTTTGGGGAACTCCACATCAAATGTTATTATTAGTGAGCCTTTGATATTATTGTTATCAAAATTTGGAAGACCTTCTCCTTTCTTCCACAGTTTGGCCCCGGGTTTCGTGATTTTATCCCGAGCAACATGAACCTAGAGACAAAAGAAATTTCAGAACATTACCTAGTGTTCTGTGTGTGAGTACCCCAACACTCCAATGCCCTTTCCAACCCAATGAAAAGCTTCAGCTGACACTGTTTCCTTGCCAAAGTCAGTGATATTCAAGGGGTCCAGGCAGTATTACTGCTAGGACACATGCCAGAACTAACATCCCCCGTGACAGCACATGCAGTAACTGCTGTGACAACCTGGAACAGAGACCCACACTGAGCACCCCTTGTACAGGGCCTGTTTTGGCTCCATGAGAATTAGTCTGGAAGGCTGTAGCAGAGGGGAAGCTGTATACAACCAGCAGCTGCCCGGACCCTGAGCAAGCTAATCCTCAGCACAGGAGACCTGCAGTTTAATTTTGTTTATGCATACCAAACAAGCCTCACCTTGTGCCCATCTAAATGGGCGATATCCATTTCAAATCCTGTAAGTGCCTCGACCAGCGAGATTGTCACGTTTGTATACAAGTCATCTCCTCTTCTTTCAAAGACTGGGTGCCTGTGGAAATAAAAGACATTGGAACTTTCCTCTTGTCCCATAGGGGAAATAGGTCCACTGGCTTCCTCCCCTCTATTTGGGAGCTTGGAGAATTCACAAGTCAGAGAGGAAGAAGTGAAGAATGAATGAAATTTAGCTTTATTTTCCTGTATGAGATACGTACTACTATAAATCCTTCTATTTCTAGGGCAATGAGTGGTGAGGTGTGTCAAGAAGTTGTGACTCACACGATTTTCTTAGTAGTGCGTTTCCTTACAATAGAGAGAGAGTACGTTTATGGAAAAAGGAGCTATTTCATGTGATTCACACAGGAGGTACTAATGAATGCCAGAACTCAAGCCAAACAAAATAAAAGTGGAATTATCGCAGCATCTTAACAGTGCTGAATCCAGCTACTCTAGCATCATCAGGGTTGAACATCCTGCACAGCCCTGAGTACCAGACTCCGGGCTGCACCACCTCTGCTGAAGGGTAAGCTACACACTAGCCAAGCTGGCAACGCTGGCCAGAAAGTTGCTTGCAAGTTTCCTTTACAGTAACCAGAAAGAGTGGTCTAACTAGGCCAGTTACTTACTTAAGAACTTTTATTCGGAAGCGCAAATCACCTGGCTCCCCATCCACGTGGGGTTCACCTGTGAAAGAGAAAGAAAAGCTCTGTTTAAAGGAGCTAGTTAGTAACAACTGAACAAACAAGCAGCATATTAAACACAATAGAGATGTGCAGCTCACATGTTAAAGGAAACACACAACTAGTTGATCTTTACATGACTAAAACCCTGCTTACACGTATCTGTTATTAAAGAGCCTAGGACTTTTGAGTATTGCCTCTCCGCCGTTCTGAAAGACTTGCCTGCATGTTTATGATGTCCTTTACTTGTTGACAGACTTCACCTCCTTGGGCAGAGGGGATTCCCTCACATACACAAGCCCAGAACAGATGTTCCTACTCAAAAGCTACCTGAAACATCAGGTTTAGAGCTTTTTTTTTGGTGTGTGCCCCCAGTACCAGCAAAGGGAGTGGAACTTGGAGCATTATCCAGACTTAGCAAAGAGTATACTCCTGGATTTCAGCGGCATGCAGAGCACTTAAAACCACATGTGCTGATCAGTTACCCAAAGCAGGGCTTGGACACTTCCCCTCCCATGAAGACCAGCCTTGCATTATGGAAAGGAGCAAGTCAGAGCTGAGCAGCAGGGCAGTGCCCATATACGTACCTTCACCAATGAAGGGATACTCCATACCATCCCTCACACCTGGCTCTATCTCCACTTCTAGCGTTCGCTCCTCATTCACAAGCCTGTGAAAGGGAAGAGCAAGCAAGCATCAAGTTTTCAACAGTTAGGTGGTAGCACCTACTTATGTTACTGGGGTAATGAGAAGACTCCCACAAGTTAACACGTACTCTCTCCTTGCTCACATCTAAAACTGGACGGCAAGTGCTCCTTTCTTGTATGCTCATCTACTCGTCTAGTAGAGCAGGCAGCATTATGCTCCTAAATGCATCCAGCATCTGGATGTGTAACTACAACACAGTACTCCACGTCCAACTGTTCCCAGCTGGAAACTGTCAGCCTCCCCAACTTCATTTATTCAGGTTTAGTTGTGAAACCTCCACAGCTGATTGTTCAAGGAGTAAGAGGCTGAAAGAGCAAATTGAGGAACTCTACATCTAACAGAGCTGGCCATCTCTCCTGTAAGAATAAATACTGGCTCCTTGGAAGTGAGAAACATGTGTTAAGTTCTTCCAAATTCCCCAGGTCTTTCTGGTAGTGCGGGCACTTTCCTCCATCTAGTGGTAGGTTTTGAATAAACATCCATATAGTAGTAAAGAGCATAAGACTCACTTGACATTTGGACATTCATCACAAACAACTTCTTGAGTCATCTGGAAACGTCCAGGACCCAACTGGGTGGTCCTCATCTCCTGCCGGCAATTGCATTTCCGTTTGCCAGGCGCCTGTCTTGCCACTGGCTTATTCCTGACAACCTGCATGGAAGAAGAGGAGGTTGATACCAGCACACAGGTCAGCACTCCTGGGTCTCCACAAGGGTTTGGATTTCTCAAACAGCCTGAACATAATTTGGTTTTGTGTGTGCTGCCTCCACAGTAGCTCCAAATGGCCTAAGCAAAACATTCTGACAACAGTTTTCACCTTGTTCCTCTTGCCGATCACACATTAAATACCAGAAAAACTCTCTGACACCATTATTACCATTTCCTTTCTTTTTCCTGTAGACCTTTCTAAATAGAAAAGGTAACACTAGGATGAAATACCTCACACTTTGGTTATGATCGCTTCCCTGTCCCACACAACCGACAAAATTATTTGGAGTTCCCCCGTTTACCCAGACACTCGCAGACTCAATCAATGCAAGTTCTAACATGCAGAATAGCAGGGATTATCAGCACCAGAAATGTAGCTAGCTTAAAAAAAAAATAATTAAAAGGCCACCATACATTTGCCAAGTATGTAATCCAGAGATTTGCAGTGACATGTTTGGCTGCATAAAGAGGCTATGAAAAATCCTCAGTGTGGTTTTGCAAGACTTATTGAAAACAGGAGAATTTAGGTACAGGCTTTCAGCTGATGAATGGCCCCCAAATATCACCAAATTCTAGAGGGAGACCACTTACACCTTCTCCAACAGAACTACAGAAAAAAAAGTTACTGCTAGGCACTTAAGAGCCAATAAATAAGCTATTATCACACAAAGCATCCCTTTATAGAGAAACTGCCAAATGGCAAAGATGAATAAATGTATTGTTTCTTCACTTAACCGCTCGCAAATAGCATCACAACATCTTCCACCATCACTGCCAGATACTGAGAAAACCAGCATCTATTTTAGTTCTATTCTTTGGGAGAAAATATCATTTTCAGCACTGGCCACACCAGGCACCTCAAACCCAAGAGCACACTGGAAAGACCGACAGGCAAGTGGTCAAACTTACTTCTACGAAGTTTCCTGAATACACCTCCTCCAGCGTAACCTCCAGGTCCACGATGATGTCACTTCCTCGGGGAATGTTCCTGTCTTGTTGGCGAGGGTTACCTCCAAACATGAATCCGAAGTCTCCAAAGAAGCTGAAGTAAAGCACATTAATTCGCTCAAGAAGGAATTCTGATCAAGTGAGGATCTGATGAAGAGAGCCACCTGCAGCAGCAGCGATGTGCTGCCTGGCAAATGCTTCTAGTCCCCAGAGAACAGCCTCCTCACAGTACAAAAGCACCATAGTAAGTCCAGATACCTCTTTTTGCTCCTCCAGGACACAAGCTAAAGCCTTCAAACAAAGCAGTCACTTTGGAAGAGTTTTCTGCACTCAAGAAAACAAGTTTTGGAGCAGGGGTTGAATGGCAACACCTCAAAATCTGACCACTGCTTAAGGGAAGTCCTCGCTGTACCACACTGCTGCTCAGCTACCATCACCACAAGGTGCAAACTCCGAATAGTGCTCCATCTCTGGCATTGCAAGTCAATGCTAGCAGGTTGGCTTCCAGTAGTGTGAGGACAAGGGGGATGAGAAAAAACTTCCTCGCAAGACTGCGTATTTTTCCTCAAAATAGACCAGCAGACAGTGCGAGTTCTCACCCAGAAGGATTATGTGAGATGAGCAACTTCAGGAATTGTTTTAGTAAATTGGTGCCTATCATAACCAAAGGGGCCTTAAACAAACAGAATATCAGGTTCTGCCTGAGCAACATGCAAGTGCCTCCAGATTTTAGACATCCAAATTCTACAGTTGCTCTGAAAGGTAATGTAAGTCACTTTTTTTTTTTGCATTACTTTGCAAAAGAAAGAGTGATCCCCAAAGGGCACACATGATTTGTGATGACAGGTTAAACATCAATCACATACCAGATAACACAAAAAAAGTTCCTACATGTTTAATGCAGCTGCAGCACCTTACAAATCATCCACACTGGAAACGCAGCTTGCCAAGTGAGCAAGAGCAGCCCATGTGGGAAGATGCCACTGCCTCCTCCTCACTGCTCTTGGGGCAAGGACTGATGCAAGACAGACAAATAAAAACTGCATGTGGGCTATCCACGGTAAATGTATTTCTTCAAATTCTCAACTGTCACTTCAGATGAGCGCCTCCTCACTGGGTAAAAGGCCTTAACATAGAATTTGCCCATATCAAACGTGTGCACGAGCACCAACTGTAGAATAGCCAGAAGTGGCAAAGTCTCCTTACTGTGAGAAAATGTCTCCATGGGAGCTCTGGTGCCCATCCTTCAATCCCTCCTCACCATACGCATCATACTGCTTCCTCTTCTCCTCATCTGACAGCACCTGGCATAGGGATGCAAGCAGATATGACATTCTGAGCCAAGTTATTTAAACAAAGCTCTGAGAGGAAGCTCATCAGCACCTCTTCACTGGGGGACCAGCAGCAATGCTTTACATTATGGAAGCACTGGCTAGAGCTTGCTTGCTGCACTGGACTAGCAGAGTTAAACATTTATCCGTTAAACCCATAAAAAGTATGGTTAGTTTATTAAAACAGCAGAAGCAACAGAGAAAATATAAACAATACTGAGTTCATCTTCAGGATTAAAAAAAGAAGCAGAAGGAATAATTTGAATCAGTTCCTACAGAGCAGGACACACTGGAATAAAAAATAAAACCACGTAACACCACCCCTGTTTTTCAGTTTGTTCTTCAAGCACGCAGAATGTGTATTTCTCCGCCTACAATTTCGTAACAGTTAGCAGTGATGGCAAGTTTGCCTACGAAGCTGAACCTGCCAAATATGATGGTAACTCTGCACCAGTTTGAATGCTGGCCCTCACTCCTAAGGGCAGCAAAAGTTAGAAGTAACTTCAGTACCGAGGCAGAGTAACACATCCCACCACACATGACTTTCAAGACCATAAAGCTTCCATTTAAATTCCTAAGTATTGATCTTTGCTCTTCCCTCCTCCAGAGATCCAGAGGTTTCTGCTCACAGTTAGTCTTCCCACCCCTTCCTCCCCTGTTGGTCATATTTGGGAAGGTTAAAGTTGCCAGGTTAGCTTTCAGAAGCCTAAGGAGGAGAGGAAACAGGTGGAAAAGCTGGCTAAATGATGAAAACCAGCCTGAAATTGTGACCAATGATAAATGCTAGCAACAGGGAAAAACAACAACCAACAATAGTGACTTCACTAGCTTCATCTAGTAGGTAAGAGTTCAATTCTCCCTTTGTCACTCCAGATTTTGCATTAAAACACACATTTCCTAAAACTGGGATAATCTTCCCATTTTGTGATCTGTTGGTATCACAGCAAAATTATTCCAGTAGAGTATTGACGATACCACGAGCAATAAGGAAGGAATTAGGAACACAAAATATTTGCCTCTCCATTCATTTTCCTTCTTTCTGCAGGCGGTTGGAGAACACAACTCCAAGAACACAACTTCAAGGACTGTAAAGAGAGTCCTCGTTTGCTATGTCAGGTTGCCTTGAAAGCAAAGCAACTACAGTGGATGAGCTTAGAAAAAAAACCCCACGGAAACTCCACCCCCAAACCATCCTGAGACTAATGACTATATGTAGCAGAGTCTCAGTTCCCTCATGTGGGATCAAGCTCCTTTTTTTAACTGAAACATCTGTGTTCAGACCACAGAGCTGCAGGGTAGAAATCACTTAGGCTGTTAAAATGAAGGATACCAAGTAGTTTAATTAACCTACTTTCCCCCCCACCCCCCCTTTTTTTTTTAAAGGCTTTGCTAGAGATAGTCAGCTAGCCAAACCCTGAGCAGTGGTACTACTAACAGAGGCTGTTGCTTTACGGGAAAAAGCATCCTGGTTTAGGTTATAAGGGAAACCTAATTCTTGCTCCCTTCTGCCCAAAACAATCCAATCAATACACTGCATCTGGCAGCTAGTTTAGCAGAAGGATTTGCAAGCTGTACTGGCTAAACACTGCTCATAAAAGTTAATATTCAGCTACTCCTGCCACCATATTCCCTGCTGATTTGATTTTACAACCATTTTCTCCCCATTTCTTCTCTCTACTATGGCAAAGACTTAAATAAACTGGGACTCAGGGAAGAGGCAGAGAAATGCTTCCTGTGCATAACGTACTGTCAAATGTGACTAGATCCCAACTCACAGAAACGACACAGCTCACAGCTTCGAAGTAAACCGCAGGCATCAATCTTCAGGTGCTGCAAGTGACAGGTAATGAACTTTTTTCCACAAAAAAAAAATTCTTTACATTCACTAGTTTGCCTGTGATAGTTCAGCCAATTTATTTAAGGAGAAGTCTGAAGTAAAAAGAGGTCCCAGCTCTGATACAAAAATAAAGTTAATGTGTTTTCTTTCTGGCCAAAGAGGAATGCATTCAAGGTGCTTCTCTCACTTCCTCACTCCTTTTACATTTGCATATCTGAAGAGCAGAGGAGCATCAAACATGGAAGCAGGAGCTGTGCTACAGCTGCGGGCTGAGCAGCACCACCAGACTGCAGCAGGAACACAAACCATTTCCTTCTGAAGCTTGGCTCCTCAGAAAGGACACAAGCCCCCTACCCAAACAGCCACAGCAGTGCAGGCAAGCTCCTGGTGGAACCACCGCTACGAATTCTTGCTGGTCAACACCATCTTCCTTGGGGGCCTCTGCTCTACAGGGGACGGCAGGAGCAGATGGAAACCAAAAGCAACAGAAGGGAGACAAAAAAAAAGAGAATGTGGACGAAACCGATCCTATCACCCTGCCTAAATTGCATTAACTTGTATGTACATGGCAAAGAAAGCAGGCTTTGATTTAAAACATTCAGCTAATAAAATGATCTGTATGTGATTTATATAATGCTATTAGTGTCAGGTATCATTTGCATGCTACAATATTATAATGGAAAAGACACTCATGCATGTGTGACCCACAATTATTTTTCCCACCTTAATGTCTTCTAAAAGGCAAGCCAACAACCTTCTGTCTCCTGTCAGCTTAGGCTTACTCGCAGCCAGGCCCTATACAGACAGACACACTTGTTCCTGTGCCAGTACTTATAGCTGATACAACTGTTATTTTTTCCACAAAGAGCTATTAATAAATACTAAATAATTTTAGCTTGCTGCCTTCGCTTTTTCCTGGCTAACTAAACTAAGGTATTTTCTTGTCCTCTGACAGAAGGAGCTCTCTAAGCAGCTTGGCAGCCTTTCTACCTTTGTTTTTTCATTTGGTAAAGCGTCCGAGAATCAACACAGGGGGAGGAGGGATTGCACCTACACCTTACAGAAGGGCCTTTACATTTCCTAGTAGCCCTTCTTTCTCATTCCCCTGAATGTTACAGGATGAAGCCTCATGAGACCACTTCTTAGCCAAGCTCAGCTTCACACTCTCAACATGTTCTACCATGAGCTGCATCCACCCTCCACAGTCTGGGAGGACGTAAGGTTCTCTGAGTTCCTTCCAACAGGGTGTAAGACTTCCCAGCAGCTACACCAGGCCTCGCTACAGCGGTGCCCACAGACAGGTGTAGGGCACAGAGGCGAAGCCCGCGGCCCCCGGCCTCACCTCGTAGGCTGCACCCAGGTCCTGGAACTTCTCCTGCGCCCGGGGGTCGTCGGGGTTCCTGTCGGGGTGGAGCTGCAGCGCCAGTTTGCGGTAGGCCTTCTTGATGTCCTTGATGGAGGCGCCGCGGGACACCCCCAGGATCTTGTAGAAGTCCCTCCTGCGGGGAGAGGGGGAAGAAAGAGGAAAGGAAGGGAGTGGGGCTCCGTCAGCGCCGCGGCCGCCGA